TTAGGAAACAAGCAATAAAAAAAGGGAAGAGTGAAAGGAAGAAAAGAGAAAAGCAAAAGAATGAAATAAGTGATGTTAATTTTTTCTATTACCTCCCTTCTCCAAAGCAACTCTTACAATGAGGACAATGAAAAGTACCTAAGACATTTGGGCTCCAGTTTTCAGGCCAAACATGGGACAGAGATGCAAAAAGAAGCCCATAATAGCTCTATGGACATCAAGGGGACATTAATTTAAACCTAATATCAGAGGAACTTTAATCTTGAAGAAGATAAACCCAACAGCAACTAACATGTATCTTCCCTACAACTTCAGGAAACAGAAAGAAGGTTCTAAATTAAGGGGATGGAAGGGCAAGGAAAGAAACAATATTTCTTCAAGAAGTCATAGATGTAGGCCAACTTTCCCAAGATCATTTATTCCAGAAAGTTGTACTCTAGGATAATTTGGAAATTAGCAGTATTGAAACTGGGTTAAGGTTGTCTTGTTGACATAGTGAATAAGAAAAGACTTTCCCAGAGGGAGGGCACAGCCATCCTAAATCAAGTAACAGTTTTACAGAAACCAATAAACTTCAACATCAGAGATTGCTGCCTTGAAATAGAAAAAATGATTAAGTATTAATGAAAATCAATACCAATAACATAAATCACAGAAAGTGTCTGGACTTCTGGTTAGTGGTCTCTGAAAGCATATATAAGGAATAAATTATAAACCAAGCATTATGTGTAAAGTACAAAAAAAAACAGTAAAATAAATAAATAAATAAAATATCATGGAAAGGAGTCAAAATTCCCAGAACTAGGTAGACCAAAGCAGGAGTATTATGTGTTTGAGGCCAGGCTGGGGTACGTAGCAAGTTCTAGGCAAGTCTTATCTATATATGGAAGCAACCTTTCAAAAATGTGCATCATTAATCAACTAGATACAAAATCGGTCATGGTGTATGATAACCAAAATTATTTATCTGTTAACAAGTTAACATGTTAACACATTAGCATTAAGCTAATATTACTATTGAAAATGAAATTAAATATGCATTCAAGCAATATAAACTACACTTTTATTTTTCAGTAAAAAATATAATTTTATATATCTGCTTTTTAGGTAGAAAATGTTAAATGAGTTTTAATAAGTATATTCAAATCTCCTCTGTCAAATGTTAAGACACCATCATAAGAGAAAGACCAACAGTATGTAGGTTGAGAAAGTTCCCAATCTCAAGGTCAAAAATATGACAGATGAATAACTGCCCCAGTCAGTGTTTAACAAGTGGTCATGTGCTCTCTGTCTTTGCTAAACCTTGTACTTTGCTTTGTGACAGCTTCAGTGAGCTCAGACTGTGCTTTCATGTCATTTACTGCTGTTAATTGAGATTGGACACATGGAGACAGTGATCTTACAAATCCAAGGGTTCCTGCTGTTCCAGAAATATGTACTTCTCACAATGTGTAAGGGGAAAACATAGGTAGAAAAATGACAGAATTCTCATGTTATATTATGTATAATAGAAAAAACCTACAGTTCTTGGTTATTTACAAAGTTTCCATAGCGTGTCCTGGTACATTAAATTCTGTGGGCTGTGATTAAAGATGAACTATAAGCTTGCTGACTGAAAATAGTAATTGATTTGCTCCCAGCTTTGGAATCAGGGAGTCTGAAGTTGATGTCCTTGGGATCATGGTATACAATATCTTCTTCTATGTACATCACTGTGGATTCAGGCCCAGGAAATGTTAGTCTTAGAATCATGCTAATGTGAGACAGTACAAAGCTGAACTCTTCCGTTCCATCACATATAAATTTTTATTCTCTGGATGAGTGTCAGTGGCTACCAAATAGGCATGACAAGAAACATAGTCGTAGGAAGATTTTCATTAACTCAGAAGACATTAGCATATTATTCTTTGTTAAAATAGCAACATGGTAACTCTGGATATGGGAGTTTATTACTGCATTCAAGATACATACAAGAGGTTCTTATACAGAGTGAAAGCCATAAAGAAAATTTGCCCTGCTCAAGAAGCCCAGAGTCATAAGAGATACTTCTCTTGGCAGGGGAAGGGGGGGCTCAGCACATTATCTGAGTCTGTGTGAGATGATGAGGTTGGAGAAACAGCCTGTCACAGCTGAGGGTTCTTTGCCTCCTGGTCCAAAGTGCACTTAAGATAAAGCCATTAGTGACTCATCAGCTTTAACAGCCATGGATGACACAGTGGTAGAAAAGCAAATAGAGATGATGAGAGCCTCTACTTTTGATTTTCATTTTTTTATGCATATGGGTGTTTGGGCTGCATACATGTCTATGCAGGGCATGTGCCTGGTGCCTACAGAAGACAGAAGAGGGAGTCAGCTTCCCCGAGGTTATGAATCATTGTGAGCCACCATGTGGGTGTTGGGAATGAAAATTAGATCCTCTGGAAGAGCAGCCAGTGAGTTCTCTTAAACAATGAGACTTCTCCCTAGCAACAAAAGCCTTCTGAATAAATAGACTTCATAGAATAATGAAAGAAATTCCTAAAAAAATAAAGACCTGTGCACTGCCATAGTCTATGACTCAGAAAGAAGAGGTCAGTGGAAAGAGGAGGATGTATAGATGAATTTATAAGGCTCCTTGTGCCTTATAAAGACTATTGTTTTTAAATCTGAGATAGAAAGCAAACTGCTTATGCATTAGCATGACTTTATTTAAAACCAAGAAATTGTAGATAATCCTCCTCTTCTTTCTTCTTAGTTCAGGAATTCAGGGAATACCATGATGATGCAGAATTCAGTTTTCCTCTCCATCATAGCTGGGAACCCTGACTAAGGAAGAACCACATCAGCTAAGAGATCATTTCTGGACTTAAGAGGATGTATCCTTGTCTATCTCTCTCTTTGTTGATGTGATAAAATACCTACAAAAGCAAGTTGAGCAATGTTTGTCCCTTAATAGTGAATATAGATTGGGAACACAGTTCATACATATAACTATTATTATGTGGAAGACAAACTGGAAGGAGCTTGAAGGAGCTGCTCATCTAGATAATCTCATAAGAATATATACATATATGCATAGCTTCTATCTTAATCATTTACCAATTTTTTGTGATACATGAATTAAAATCATTTAGCAATATTGAAATATGCCATTGGAAACTCTGGACCCTTTACCAATAGCCCACCAGGATTCATTCCTTCTAGTGATCCTCACCAAATGTACCTAAGATGTTAAGATACATTCTCATTCAATCCAGCCAAGTATAGATGATCTTCCAAAAAAGGATTCCCTCTACCCATATATCTCATAATGTATTGAGAGAACTGGACCCTCCAGAGAGACTCTGTAGTAATAAATAAAGAAAATTTGAGCAAAAAAAAATCAGGGTAGGAAGGTTACAAAGAAAAGCAGTAGAAGGAGTTCAAGGGACACATCGTTGACATACAGATGTTCCATTTAGTGCGGTATTCTTGGAAAATGTTGCGGGAGGTCCTTCTGCTCCTCCAGCCTAGAGCCACTGAGATACCAGCCCATTGGGGTGTGGTCTCTCTCCCTTTAAAAAAGCAGCTACTTCCCTTCTTGCCCCTTTTTCGCTTCCTGCTCCGTTTCCAGCTACTAGACTCCTTCCTGATTGCGCAGAGGGCTGTTGTCTGGGACGGTTATCTGTAAGTTTTTTCCCCTTTAAATAAATATCACCCTATTAATCATAATTCCAAACTGGTGTGGCATTGTTTGTGACTTACACCTTCAGGAAAAGAAATTTATGAGATAATAAGCTTCCCCTGCCTCTCTGAACCAGCCACATTCCCTGAGCTAGCCCACATTATGTGCCCCAGCAACACACATAGCTTTGAGTTAGTGTCTGAGCTCATGTTCACTCCTAGACTTGTTCACACCTAGACTTGTTCACACCTAATGTCAAGCAATTATCAGGATACTTCAGGGTTTTCTTCTCTTTACTGCTCCTCAGGGAGAATTATGTCTTGTTATCTTGTGATTCTCTGTATCAGCCTGGGTTGTTAAATCTTGGGATTTTGATCTGTGACATCTTTCTTCTATGGGACTAAACAGAGTTGATGATTTTACAGTTTGTTCAATTTCTTCCCTTTTTGTTAAGATGGAGTGGCCCCTCTAGGCACCTCTCATGCAGAATTAGAAGCTTCAAGGCTTTTTTCCATTAACTTTTCTAAATCGTTTGCACTACCTTAATGATTTCTCAAACAAAATTTAGAATGTGCGACTATGTGTTTTCTGAAGGTGGAAACAGGGGGATCAGGTGTAGCCAGGGAAGGGACATACAGTTGATGAAGGAAATAAAATGAAATACATCTGACATTGAGAGGAATTTGAGGGATGATATTGTAATGAAACCTAGCACAACAGAAACTTTCTATAATATATGATGGCTATCCTAAATCCTGCCCTACCAAAAAGCCAAGGCAGTTTCTTTATTAACCAGTGAAAGTAACACATAGACAGATGACCCTCCTCCATCAGTTATGTGTTATAGAAAGATAATGCTGATGGAGGAAGGTCATTGGTTAATTAATAAAGAAACTGCTTGGCCCTGGATAGAACATATGTGGGTGGAGTAAACAGAACAGAATGGTGGGAGGAAGATGAAGTGAGCTCAGATGCCAGGCTTCTCTCCTCTCCAGAACAAATGGGTGAAGCTCTGACCCAGGATGGACGTAGGCTAGAATCTTCCTGGTAAGCGCACCTTGTGGTGCTACACACCTTAATAGAAATGGGCGAAGCAGTGTTTAAATGAATACAATTTGTGTGTCATTATTTTGGGGCATAAGCTCGCCAGGCGGCCGGGAGCTGGGTGGCAGAAACGAGGCCCGCAGCTCCCACTACCTAATGCTGAGTACTCCTTTGCATTATCATATAAACATTTTTCATACCAAAAGACATAAAAGACATGGAACCCATCAGTTTTGCTGAGCTCTGCAAGTTTTGTTATCAGTGTTTCAGGTACCAACTTTCAGGCAGAATGGGGAAGTGCATAGGTCCAAGTCTATATGTGGTGCACACAGCTGGTGAGACTCCCAGAGGAGGTTTTTGTTGGAAGCTGAAGCACTGTGGGAGGAAAATAATAATACTGCTGACAGTAGTAGTCTGCCAGGTCTTCAGCCTGAACACTGCTGATGGTGAGAGTGAAATCTGTTCCAGATCCACTGCCTATGAAGCGATCAGGGACCCCAGTGTGCCGAGTGGATGCCCAGTAGATCAGTAGTTTAGGAGCCTGCCCTGGTTTCTGTTGGTACCAGGCCAGGTAGTTCTTCTGGTTTTCACTGTATAAAAGACTCTGACTGGACTTGCAGCTGATGGTGACCTTCTCTCCTGCTGACACAGCCAGTGAGGATGGAGACTGGGTCATCACAATATCTGCACAAGCACCTGCAATCAGGAAAACAATGATGATGCAACATAAAAAACCAGAGAATTTAATGCAGTTAAAAATTGTCATTTAATGTCCTTGTAATGTCATATTGTCATAGTATTATTGCATAAAAATATTGTACCATGATACACATTGTAGATTATTTTATATATAAAGAAGTTGCTCCAATTCAATTTCTTACCAGACACCCAGAACAGCAATATCATAAGGATCTGGGTCTGTGACTCCATATTGCTCCCCCTGCCTGTCTGCATTAACTCATTTCTCATGGTAAAAGTCTGGTTTATAAATTCTGAGCAGTAGGGTTGAGCTGGAGTGGCTCATGCAAAGCAGTCAGGAAATACAAAAGCAAATGCCTAAGAAGTATGTATTAGAGTTGCTAGTGTCGATCAACAGGCAAATATACCACCACAAAAAGCATGAGAAATCACTGAAAGATTTTGACTTGAAGCTCTCCAACAGAAATCTACTAGGATCTCTATTAGAAGTTTTGGTTAAAATCCAAGAAATATTTAAATCAGGTAACATTTGCAGAAACATTAGGAAAACTATCTCAGTCTGACAGTCCTAGGGAAATGATATGTTCAAAAAATTGAAACAACAAATTAGAAAACACAGAGGAAGAAAATGTGCAGTAAAAGAAAGGAAGACTGGAAGGGGAGAAAAGGGAAGACAAAAAATGAGAGAATTAATGCTAATTATTTTTATTGTCTCCTATTTCTAAAGCAACTTTTTAATTTAACTTTTTATTTATTTTACATACCAACCTCAGTTTCCTCTCTGTCCTCTCATTAGTTCCCTCACTGACCTCCTTTCTACACCCCAATGCACTTCCCTTAAAGGATGGGTCTCTCATGGGAATCAACAAAGAATAGTATACCATGTTAAAGCAGGACTGACCTACTCCCCACTGGATCAAGCTGAGTAAGTCATCCAAGCATAGGGAATAGGTACCAAAAAGTCAGCTCATGTGTCAGGGACAGATTTTGATCCCACTGTTAGGGGCCACAGCCAGACCAAGCTACACAACTATCACCACAAACAGAGGGCTTAGTTCAGTCCCATGCAGGCTCCCTAACAGACAGTCAAGAGTCCATGAGCTCCCAGTAGCTCACACGAGCTGCATTGTGGGTTTCCCCACCATGATCTTGACCCAACTTGCTCATATAATGCCTCCTCCATCTCTTTGATTGAACTCCCATAGCTCAGCCCAGTGCTTGGCTGTGCATCTCTATATATGCTTACATCAGTTACTGGATGAAAGTTCTATGATGGCAGTTGGGGTAGTAAATCATATGATTACTGGAGATAAGTTCAGGCACCCTCTCCACTATTGCTAGGTGTCTTGTTGAGGTCATCCTTGTGGGTTCCTGGGAGTTTCCCTGGTACCAGGTTTCTCCATCACCCCATAATGACCCTCTCTATCGAAATATCTCCTTCATTTCTTTCCCTCTCATTCCCTCCTCTAAATCTGCCATTCTGATCTCTCATGTTCCCATCCCCAAATCCCCTCTCCTCTGCCTCACCCCAACAACAGTTTACTCAGGAGATTTTAATCTGAGACTGTGCTTTTGTTTCCCAGTCACACAGACCTTAATCATCAAAAAGAAACTATATTAATTACAGCACTGTTTGGTCAATGGCTCATATGTATTCATAGTTAGCTCTTTCATCTTAAAGTAAATCATTTCTACTAATCTATGTATCGCCGTGAGACTGTGGCTTACCAACATCCTGCCAAATTTCTCCTTCAGCAACTACATGGTACCTCTCCAAACTAGATACAATCTCTATTTTCAGATTTTACTCCTAACTTTACTCTACTAAGTCATTGGTCAAAACTTTACATATCATCACATATATAGAAGGACATCACACATCAGGAGATCTCATCTATTTCCCATTCACAGGGTGATCGATGTATGCCTCTGAGGGTTCTCCTTGTTACCTAGCTTCTCTGGGGCAGTGAATTTTACCCTATCATTTGCTTTATATCTAATATCCACTTATGAGTGAGTACACACCATGTTTGTCATTCTAGGTTTCAGTTCCTCACTCAGGATGATTATTTTCTAGTTCCATTCATTTGCCCCCAAATTTCACCGTGTCATTGTATTTTACAGGTGAGTAAATGTACATTTTCTTTATCCTTTCTTCAGATGAGGGGCATTTAGGTTGCTTCCCATTTCTGGTTATAACAAATAATGCTGCTATGAACACAGTTGAAAAGGATCCTTTTAGTATGATTGAGCATCCTTTGAGGAAATGCCCAAGAGTGGTATTGCTGAGTCTTGAGGTAGACTAATTTCCAGTTTTGTGAGAAACTGCCATACTGAGTTCCAAATTGCCTGTACAAGTTTGCACTCTCACCAGCAATGGAGGAGTGTTCCCCTTATTCCATGTTTTCTCCAACATGTAAGATGGTATCTCAGAGTTGTTTTGATTTGCATTTCCCTGATGGCTAAAGATGTTGAACATTTCCCTAAGTGTCTTTTAGTCATTTGAGATTCTTCTGTTGAGAATTCTGTGTTTAGATATGTACCCCATTTTTAATTGGATTATTCGGTATTTTGATGTCTAGTTTCTTGAAGTATTTATATATTTTAGAGATCAGCCCTCTGTGAGATGTGGAGTTGGTGAAAATCTTTTCCCATGGTGTAGGCTTTCATATTGTCTTATGGACCACATCTTTTATCTTTCAGAAACTTTTCAGTTTCAGGAAATCCAGTTTATTAATTGTTGCTCTCGCTGTCTGTGTTACTGGTGTTGTATTCAGGAAGATGTCTCCTGTGACAATTCATTCAAAGTTACTTTCCACTTTCTCTTCTATCCAGTTCAGTGTAAAGGAATTGATTTTGAGGTCTTTGATCTACTTGGAATTGAGTTTTTACAGGGCAATGGATATGGATCTACTTGCATTCTTTTACATACTGATATCCAGTTATACCAGCACCATTTGTTTAATATGTTTTCTTTTTTCTATTGTACAGTTTTGATTTCTTCATCAAAAATCAGAAATTCATAGCTGTGTGGATTTATATAAGGATTTATGATTTGATTCCATTGATCCATGTGTTTGTTGTTATGCCAATACAAAGCTGTTTCGTTACTAGAGCTCTACATTAAAGCTTGAAGTCAGGGATGGTAATGTCTCTAGGAGTTCCTCTGTTTCACATATTTTTAGCTATTCTGGGTTTATGTTTTTCAATATGATGTTCAATATTGTTCTTTAGAGGTCTGTGAAGAATTGTGTGGGGATTTTGTTGGGGATTGCATTAAATCTATAGATTGCTTTTGGTAAGATATTACTATATTAATCCTACTTATCCATGTGCATGGGAGAACTTTCCGTTTTCTGATATCTTCTATTTATTTCTTTAAGGATTTAAAGTTCTTGTCATACAGGTCTTTCACTTGTTTGGTTAGAGTTACCAAAAATACTTTATATCATTTTTTCATATTGTAAAAGGTCTTGTAGACAACAAACAGTGCCTCAGAAATTTGGGATCCAGGTTCTGGGCCAAACTTGAAACAGAGATGTCAATAGAAGCCAATAATTGCTCTGTAGAAATCATGATGACATTGATTTAAACAGATAAAAAAAACTTTAACCATGAAGCAATGGTAAACCCAACAGAAACTAACACATATCCTCCCTACATTTTTATTTCTGTTTTCAGTAAACAGAAAAAAAGGCTCTAAATTGGGGGAATGGAAGTGGAATGAGAGAAACAAGAAGTAATGAAGTACCAATACTGCTAAAAGTATTTATTCTATGAATTAATATTCTAGTATAATTTAGAAATTAACAATATTAAAAGTGGTTTAAGATGACCTTGCTGACATACTGAAAGGGAAAAGACATTACCAGAAAGGGCTGCAGTCATCTTAAATCAAGTAATAGTTTTACAGAGACCAATTGACCTCAACATTTGAGATTGTTGCCATTCAAAAAAAAATATTGAGTATGAGTGAAAATCAATAACAATAACAGAAATCACATAACCTGCCTGGAATTCAGATTATTGAACTCTGAAAGTATATATATATATATATATATATATATATATATATATATATATATAAAATCATAAATCCTGTATTATGTATAAAGTGAAAGAAACAGAAAAATAAATAAATAAAATATGACAAGGAGTGGAGATTCACATTGGTAATACCAGAACTGAAGAGACATAAGCAGGAGGATCCTGAGTTTTATGTTAACCTGGGCTACAGAGAAAGTTCTAGACCAGTCTAATCTACTCAGGGAGACAGTCTCTCAAAAATATACATCATTAATAAACTCATTAAAAACCAAATCAAAGCATTTGATATACAAAGCAAAGTATTTATCTGATGTTAACATGTTAGCATTGAGCCTTAAATATTCTTGAAAATTGAATATGCATTTAAGCAACTTCTCTTTTATTTTTCACTAAGTATATAATTTTATACATCTACTTTTCAGATATAAAAGTTAAATTATTTCTGATAAGCATATTCAAAACTCCTCTGTCAATTGCTAACACATCATCATGAGATAGAGACAAACTATATAAAGGTTAGGAAAGTTCCCAATCTCAATGTGAAGAATATGACAGATGAGTGATCACCCCAGTCAATGTCTAACAAGTTGTCATGTGCTGTTGATCTCTGCTAAACTTTGTACTTTGCTTGTCACAGCTGCAGTGAGCTCAGATTGTACTTTCATGTCACTTTGTGCTGCTCATTGAGATTGGACACATGGAGACACAGATTTGCATATCTAACAGAATTCTGCAGTTAATCGTGTGCTTCTCACAATGTGTAAGGGGAGATCATGGGTCGGTAAGACTGTTGAGTTGACCCAGAATTACCTTTGGTACTAAAGGATAGGGAGATCTTCCTTCAATCACTGTAAAGTAAGTTCATCCAAGTTTAATTCTCAACAATCATCTGCAGTTCAAGCTCATCCCTATCTGCTCTTTTAGTGACTGATGATACATATAGATTGGGCATAAAGGCGATGCAGTGGGTACAACTTTCCCCAATAATCTGAACCAGGCCATCACGATAACTTTTCTACAAAATCAAAATTGCTTGTTTTTTTTTAAACAGAATCATAGTGTGAAATGGATCTTTGACTAATTTTGAGGGATCAAAGTGTTCCTGAACCAATGTTGCATAGAGCATCCAAATAGCACCCCCCCATAAGCCTCTTTAGAAAGACTAGGACATGAAGAGGCAATACAGT